ACAGCCAGCAAAGCAAAGTTGGCTAGGGAATTCTGGGAGTTAAAGTCCACCAGGCCTAAAATTGCCAAGGTTAGAGACCCCTGCTCTGGAGAATGCAGAGTGTGCGTGTTTATAAGCCAACTGCTTTCAGAGAAAGAGATGGTATCTAATGATGACATATTACAGTGTAGAATTTAAATTAAAGGATGCAGCATTGAATATTGGCCCAAAAGACTTCAGTGGCTTTTCTGTGCTGCCATTTATTTATTTATTCAACTATTTTAATCTTGCAAAGTTGATGGATTTTAATGGGGTTTCGCTTCCTAGAATCACATTTTAGAAATACATTTTTCAAGCTGCGCACGGCTTGTCTTGGACGGAGACCAAGCTGGTCTGCAGCAAAATCCAAAGAGGGAAGAGTCCAAATGTGAATTCACACCATCTCAGCGGAAGCCAATCCTATTGGGCATTAACCTTGGCAGTATCTTTAAAGGATACTGGAAAATGCAGGAAAATTGCATTGTCCATATTTTCCCTTCTTCCTGTTTATCATCTCTCTGCAGAGTTGCTAGCTACTGAAGGCGCTTTGCGCTTTGCCAAAAACACTTCGTCAAAAAGGGTTTGGTTGAAGGATGCAGGCCAGGCGTGTGTCTTAGAGCAAATTACAACCATCTGTGTGTTTTTTTATTTAGCTCTGACCCTTCTCTGCTTCTTTGCTCATACGCACATATATATTTGTCGCTGGCTTGGCTTTGTGTTTTCTTTTCTGCGTTCAAAAAGGTCCTAAGGAAAGGAAAGCATTTCCTTGCGTGACCTTCAAGTAGAACAAGGCACTTCCTTCCATGACCAAACCCTCTTAAGAGACTTCAGAGCAGTATCTCATCTCAGGGTACCATGCTTTTAACAGCTGGTCAGCAGGTCTGTGGTTGCCAAAGGGCAGTTCAGTGATGGAAATAAGTCATCTTAGTTGGCTGTTTTTATGGAAGACTCATCTCCTGGACTGGATGACACACCCCAAATGTCCATGACTGAAGATTGGAGTTCCTCCACTGTCAATCCATCTTAACTATAAACCCAATGTTGGTTCTTTTTTTTAAATTCACAAATCTGAACAGGACATATAGTTCCACCATAAGAGTTTTAAAATAGTTATATTGTCTCAGGCCAAGACTTATCTTGGTCCACCATATGGTTTCTCAGAAAGAGCGACCAGATACTTCTAAGGTAGCAATAGCAATAGTTAGCAATAGTTAGACTTATATACCGCTTCATAGGGCTTTCAGCCCTCTCTAAGCATTTTACAGAGTCAGCATATTGCCCCCAACAACAATCCGGGTCCTCATTTTACCCACCTCGGAAGGATGGAAGGCTGAGTCAACCTTGAGCCTGGTGGGATTTGAACAGCCAAACTACTGAACTGCAGTCAGTTGAAGTAGCCTGCAGTGCTGCATTTAACCACTGCGCCACCTTGGTCTCACAACTGGGACAGAGAGAAATGCTATTCTTCTCATCTTGTTCTATAAGTACCATCAACCTGAAGGTAACACTGAATCCTGAAGACCAGCAACCCTTCATAGATAAACAGTAACAGAGTTGGAAGGGACCTTGGAGGTCATCTACTGCCAAGCCTTTCTGATCGGCAAGCTCAGTGTCTTAGCCATTGAGCCACCTAGTCAGGCGATTTTCCTTCATGAATTTCTCTTTGAATCAGAATACTTATGAAGGGACCTTGGAGGTCTTCTAATCCAACTCCCTGCTCAAGCAGGAGACCCTATAATATTTCAGACAAGTGATCGTCCAGGCTCTTCTTAAAAACCTCCAGTGATGAAGCCCCTACAACTTCTGAAGGCAAGCTGTCCCACTGGTTAACTGTTCTCACCCTTAGGAAGTTTCTCCTTAGTTCCAAGTTGCTTCTCTCCTTGATTAGTTTTCATCCATTGAGAAACAAATGAATGGATTTTTGCCCTGCCCTCTGGTACTTTGGAAAATAAGTTGACCCCACCCCCCTCTTCTTTGTGACAGCCACTCAAATACTGGAATACTGCTATCTTGACACTCCTAATCCTTTTTTCTAGACTAGAGATTCTAGACTAGAGATTCTGTAACCGTTCTTCATATTTTTTGGTCTCCAGGCCTTTAATCATCGTAATTGCTCTTCTCTGCACTTTTTTTTTTCAAAGTCTCAACATTTTTTTTCCGTAGTGTGGTGATCAAAACTAGATGCAGTATTCCAGGTGTGACCTTTCCAAGGATTTATTCCAGTGGCACTAATACTTCACGTGATTTTGATTCTATGCCTCTGTTTATACAACCAAGGATTGTATTAGCCTTTTTGGCTGCTGCCACATCACTCGTATTTAAGTGATCATCCACTAGGACTCCAAGGTCCCTCTCACAGTGACTGTTTTTGAGCCAGATTTCTCGTAATCTGTACTTGTACCTTTGGTTTTTCCTGCCTAAGTGTAAAAAGCCTTAGGCTTCTCCACATTAAATTTCATTTTGTTAAACAGAATCCAATGTTCCAGTCTGTCAAGATCTCAAGCTGGCTAGGGAATTCTGGAAGCTGAAGTCCATATATCTTAAAGATGCGGAAGTTGACAAATGCAGATCTATGCTAACTTGAAGCTGGTCCCATTTGAAACCAGTTGGGTAGGAGGATTAAAATACATGTTCACTGAGAACCAAAAGAAGTCCCTCCTTTGTTCAAGTAAGCCAACAAGGGCCTTAGTTTGTCGCAACAATCTTTCCAAGGTTACAATTTTCTAAATATAAGATTTCTTTTAAAATATGCCCCAACGTGGCAATTTCAGCTGTGCCAAAGTAATTCAAAGGTCAGGCATTGAGGAAAAAATGAATTATTGGCTGCCATTGTGCATTTTTATGTCTGCAAACTACAAATCATATATATAGACTTTACTCGTAATTTTTGAAGGGACCTCTTGAAGAGAGAGAGAAAAATGGAAACAGCTGCCTTTTTAAAAAAAAAAGCGGGGGGAGAGGATCTTTGTATATGAAGGTGCCGCCATCATTTACAAACAGGATCTCATCCAAAAACCTTAAGAAAATTAGCATTGTTTGGGCTGATAGACTGTAAAAACATACATTCATCACCAAAAGTGGTGGGGAAAATATTTAATTTTTCCACTTATATAAAAGCTTAATTTAACCTAGGACTCTGTAAGAGAATCTGGCAGAATAAGATAGAATAACAACTTCTCAAGGATTAGATTGCCTTTTTAAAGCAAATCCTATTTTAATAGCTATATTTTTATAGCTTTTATAGGGTTTTGTTTTAAGACAGATAGGTTTAGTGTTGAGGTTTTTTATTAAATTATTTTTTTTACTGCAGGTTGTTTTAAAGTTGTTTTTCCTTTCATACTCTGCCCTGGGCTCTTTCCGTGGAACAAATGGTATAAAAATAAAACTAATAATGCTAACAAGTAATAACTTGGAAAGAAGAGAGAATGACTTAAAACAGATTCTCCTCACTGCCTAGCAATGGCAAGTAATATTAAACCAGCAATTTGGGGTACAAAGTTTTCCAAAGATCCGGATTTTGCTTAAAATGTCTTATGAGCCCACAAATTTCATTTGCTTCCTAAAATCATTAGAAATGAAGAGTCTAAATAAATCACAATACAAAATATTTTTGTTAAAAAAAATTGCCTTCCCTTTGAGGCTGTCACCCCAATGGTATTATCACACCCACGCCAAAGATAATGGAACACAGAGACCCTTTTGTATTGGACAGCAGTCAGCAGAAGGCCGCTTGGACAAAATTATTGTTTTGTTTCATGGAAAAGTGCCCCCTATAATTGTTAAGAGAGCCAGTTGGTGTAGTGGTTAAGGCACCAGGCTAGAACTCAGGAGATCATAAGTTAAAGTCCCACCTCAGTCATGGGTGATTGGGCCAATCACTCTCTCAGCCCAACTCACCTCACAAGCGGTGTTGATATTCTACCAGTTCAGACCGGTTCGCACGAACCAGTAGCGGAAATTCCAGGTGGCCCCGCCCATACGCCCCGGTTCTACAGTATCCCATTTAGGCCCTTTTTAGGCAAAGTGCATGCACGGAAAGCAGAACACATGCATGGATGTAGTGCCTGCGAGCAAAGCGAGCACGCAAGCCCACATTTGCAAAACAGTAGGGAAGGTAAGTGATTGCCCCCCCCGCCCCCCCCGTCCACAAGGTTATTATTGTGGGGAATATAGGAGGAGGAAGGTGTGTTAGATATGTTTGCCTCCTTGAGTTATTTGTAAAAATAATAAGGGCAGGATATAGACAAATGGTGTTGAGGAAGACTCTTGAGAGTCCCTCGGACTGAAAGGAGATCAAATCAGTCAATTCTGAAGGAAATCAACCCTGGCTGTCCCTTGGAAGGACAGATACTGAAGTTCAAATGCTTTGGCCACCAAACGAGAAGAGGGAAAACTCACTGGAAAAGACCCTGCTGTTGGGAAAGATGGAAGGCAAAGGGAGAAGAGAAGGGATGAGCTAGTTAAATAGTATCATTGATGCAATGAACATGAAGACAGTGGAGGGCAGGGAGGCCTGGCGTGCGTGGGGTCACAAAGAGCCGGACATGTCTTAGCATCTGAACAAACAAAGGAATAAATTGCTATGAACAAAGAACATGGAGAAATAATAAGTGGAGCTTCCGTCCCAAACTCAGAAACAGAGTTTCTCTGATCTCTTTGGCTTGGAGATGCAAATGAACAACTCTTCAGAAAAAGGGGGACAACTCAGAGATGTAATCAGGGGTGGTATTTACTTACCTTCCCTACCGGTTCATGAATGTGAGCATGTGCCCACCTATGCACAGGCACTTTTTGCTAAAAATGGGCCTAAATTGGATGCCTTAGAGCCGGGGAAACTGGTTCGGGGAAACCGGTTTGGGAAACTGGTCCGAACCAGTAGAATACCACCCTCTGGATATAATGATGATTTAATCCAAGTGAGCACGTACCAATGACCAGGTACGTGCGCTTTCCTTGTGCATAGAAAAAAGGGACTGACTCACCTCTGTCCAAGCTGCGCATACTTTGATCCAGATGCAAGTCAAAGACCCGTATTTCGGCAAGGTTGGGTTCTTGTTCCAGAAGCATTTCGACCAGATGTTTTCCCAGGAAACCACAGCCTCCCGTGACCAAGTAGGTCTGGTTTTTGCTAGTCAACCTCATCTGTGCTGGAAAGGGAGAACCAAAGAGCACACTTAAACCAGGACTGCGAGAAATCGGAATGAGTGGAAGTAGGCAAACCAACAAAAGCAGAAATAGTAGATTTCCCTAGGCGGAGATTATAAACTCAAGAGCAACCGTAAAACCACATGTGTCACATATGGGGAAAAAGGAAGGACCCTGAGACAATACTCCAGAAGGGGGAGGGAAGGAGTAAAAAAAAAAAAACCGCTGGAATGCATCTGTTCTTTCCCACAATTTCTAGGAAATGCACTGACTTTCCAAGTGGCCTTTTCCAAATAGAAAGGCAGTGAACCAACAGTCACGGATCATCACTGCCTTTCATGCGATTGCTCCTAGAGATTGTTGGCATCACTGCTGTCTACCAGAAGGACAACAGCTCCCCTACTTCTCCAAGTTCTCAAATACTCAAATGTTGAGTATTTTTCTAAATTGTTTGTTTTGGAACTTCTGGATGTAGGCAAGGAGGGAAAATGGGTTTGAATCAGCTCTTCACCATAGTTTCAATTGGGAAACTGTGACCATCCTAGACCAAACCAAGTTCCAAAACACTAGGGAATTTCTAGAAGCCTGGCACTAGCTATCAATAGACAGCCATGTATAATACCTATAGACCAGGGGTGGGTTGCTGCCGGCATCACTGATGCTTCGGTGCGCAAAAAGGTTTGCGCAAACGCACAATGTTAGAAAAGGGGGGGGGATTACATTTTTGCAATGAAAATTGTTCTGTCCATGCCGAGAAACAAAAATCAAAATGGCGGTGCTATCAATAGAACCGGTTCGGGGGTGTAGCAGGCTGAGTTACTACCTATGCAAGAACCCACCTCTGCTATAGACACTGCAAAAGAAATAATAAGTCAAAGGGGGGAACAAAGAGATCTCAGCACCTCTCCATCAGCAATCAACACCCAGATGAGCGTAGATTAACACCATGATTAACATTAGACCAACAATCAAGTAAACAATACCCCAATCAAGAAACTGTTGGCCGAACAAGCCAACAGTAAACAGCCCAACCAAAGAACCTCTAAGACCATTCTAGGGCAAACCACTAGAATATAAACTGGGAGTAAACCCCACTCCTTACCAGCACTGATGATATTACCTAGTTTGGGTAAGGAAACGTCTGCAAAAAAGCCAACAAGCTAAGAGAGAACCAAGAAATCCACGAATCAACCCTAATTGCAGGGGGTGTGTGTGTGTGTGTGTGCTTCTCTAATTATTGCTGAAATCCATGGCATTATTTATAAGCCAGGAAGCTTACTATAATGCCACAGATTACATCAGGGACTACGTGACGTTGTGCTTGAGACACAACCCAGAGAAATAATAGACCGCACCACAATGACAATAACTCTACAATTCATTTGAACTCAGCTATTGTTCTGGGTTGTTAGTTTTACCTATACAGGCATTACTTGACTCACAACCATTCATTTAGTGATTGTTTGTAGTTAACAATGGTCCTGGGGGGGAAAAGGATATGACCAATTTTCACACTTATAATAGTTGCAACATCCCCACAGTCACATGATCAAAATTTGGGAGCTTGGCAACTGGCGTGTATTTAAGATAGCCGTCATCACTATCTTCCCAACCAGCTTTTGACAAGCAAAGTTAATGAGGGAAAACCAGATTCACTTAATGACTGCATAATTCATTTAACAACTGCAGATTCACTTAACAACTGTGGCAGAAAGATCATAAAATGGGGCAAAACTCATAACTGCCTTGCTTAACAATACACATTTTGGGCTCAGTTTTGACTGAAAATCAAGGACTAATGATATCTTAGTTTCAAAAGACCAAAGGCGACGACTTTAAAGTTTAGATTAATTTGCCTGTGTTCTGTCTCTTTTTCTTTAATTTGTATCTCTTATCACCCTGTCATCAGTTCAAAGAACACATTTTTCCTCCTAGTTGGATGTGTTGCAAAAACATCTCCACAATATTTTATTTTGCTCTGGATGTCGAAAAATGTACATTATGAATAAAAGGAAGCTGACAGATGAAACAGGGTGGTAATTGCTGGCTTCCTCTGTTTTGAACTTTGGACCACAACCCGAGATGCTACAGCAGTGTTTCCTCAATTGGCAGCCAATTTAAGATGTGTGGACTTCAACTCCCAGAATCCCCCAGGCACCATGGTCAGTGAGAAGGGAAGTCAGATCTTTTAAAAATATACCTGTCTTCTCCAATGCACTACCTTTCAGATGTAATCAACTGAGAGAAGATGCTAGCTAAGAGCCTGGGGCAGGGGGTGGGGAAGCAAATTCAGACAAGTAAACAAAATACAAATACAGATTTCCCTCCATCAAAACCAGTCCATTGACATTCCACTTTTAAGAAGCGCAAAAAATGGGAAAACAAAGACTAAATAAACCACTGATATTTCTGATATTCAGATCGACATGGGTGGTGCATCTCTAACCTCAGAGTCCGGCTGCTTTCTGGTGAATCACGATCCAAGATGTCCAGAGAGAGAGAGGGAGATCTTTGGACTGAACGTAGTATGGAAGAATCGCTGTAGCAGGCAGGAATGCAAGTAGTTCAGCCAAACTTTAGACTATATTGCCAAGTGGAACCTCCCTGTCTTTTGGATGCTCTGAGTTAATTGAAACATCAGGACCAACTATTTCTTTGCCAACAGACAAATAAATACAAAAACAAGGTGTTCCTTACTTATGATTGATTGGGGTTTGTTTTTATGTAGAAGATTTATATGGACGCCTACTCACTCTCAGTGATTCTGGGAGGCTTACAAATAAGACTTTTTACTCTCCTGTTTGTCTCTGTGTAAGCATTAGCAGGGTGAAACAGTGCATTGTAGGCAGGGGTGAGATTCAGACAGTTCTGACTGGTTCAGGCAAACCGGGTGCTAATTTTACCTCTGGTTCGCTGAACTGGTAATTTCAAGAACTGGCTGGCCCCATTCTCCAGCCCCTTCCCTCCCATGAGTCTCCATACGGCCCCTTTTGGATGCCAGGTAAGTGCAGGGCCCGCATGGAGACTCTGGGAGAGCGAAAAATTGGTTTCATGGAAGTGCTGGAAGTCCAGAGCCCAGGAGACGCCATTTTCACCCTCTTGGAGGTCGAGGAAAGCCTCAGGAGCCTGGGGAGGGCAAAAATGGGCTTCCTGGAAGTCTGTAAACAGGTCTGTTTTCGGCCTCTATAGGGCCTCCGGAGCCTGGGAGGGCTGTTTTCACCCTCCCAGAGGCTCAAGGAAAGCCTCCAGAACCTGCAGAGGATGAAAACAACCCCCCCCCCCCACATGGTGCAGGAGTTGCTAAAATGTTTGAATCCTACCCCTGATCGTAGGGCAACAGTTTTTAAACCAAGGTACCTCAGATGGGCCAACTTACAAAATGTATCCAAAATCCAGGACAGAAGGCTACTGTGGAACTGAAATTTGGCAAAACATATAAAATTTCATGGCATAACAGAAAATGTCATAAGACATTGATTCCGAACCTGCGGTTCACGGACCCCTGCCCCCCCCCCCCTCCGGGCGATATCATCACAGGGGGTCAATGAAGAAATGTTATGATTTAAATCTTGAGTTAAATCTTGGGGGTCTGTGGCCATTCTCTGTGGCCATAAAAGGTATTTTAAGCTGGTCCGTGATGAAGAAAAGGTTAAGAACCGCTGATAAAACATCTCCTCAGAACAAGTCCTGATGATTAATTATGGCATGTACTTCACCGGGGCTGTTTTCAAGGTAAATACATCTCTGAATATTTCATTGAATTTTTAAGAACCTTTTCCAATGGAGGCAGTACATTGGAGGGTCTAGGACAGAGGCCCCCAACCTGCAGACCAATACTGGGCCATGGCCTATTGGGCACCAGGCCATGTGAGTAGCTGGCTGGTGCATGCACATGCACATGCGACCCCACGCATGTCACCATCACGAGTGTCGCAGGCGCTCACCACCCCAGTTGCATGGGCACTCATACCCCCTCTTGCGTGTGTGCCACCATGAGTATTGCGGACACATAAAGCCCCACTTGTGTGGCGCTCAGAGTTCATTCACGAAAGTGTTGCCACAAGCATTGGGTGGGTGCTCGTGGCCCCACTCACCGAGCATCATTGCAGGCACTCACGTACCCACTCACATGAGCAACGAGTCTCGTGTGTGTACATACATGCACATGTGCCTACCCCTCCCAGATAACCAATCCCTCTTTCCTCTCCCCCACTTTGGACTGTCAACTCAGAAAGATTGGGGACTCTGGTCAAGGACATTCGCCATGGCCAACTTGCCGTGGCCATTTCACCACAGTCACCTCACCACAGGACAACTTGCCATGGCCAACTTGCTGTGGGACAACCTGCCACAGGAAATTCCACACAGGATAACTCAATGCAATCGATGTTATCCGCCACTGTTTCTTTGACATTATTTCCATTCACAAAAATGGAAATTATCTCAGAGAAACAGTGGCGGATAGATAGCATTTGTTTTGTTGAGTTATCCCCCCCCCCCTGGAATTTTCTGTGATGAGTTGTCCTGTGGCAAGTTGGCCACGGCCAGCTGTCTCCTGGCTAGTTGGCTGCACCAAAATGGCCAAGTTGAATTGGCCATGGCGATATGGCAATGGTGAAATGGCACAGTGAGTTGGCTGCAGCGAATTGTTCCATTCCCTACATTAGAAGTTCTGTCAGTGTTGAAGGCATGAAGGAATCTGGTAAAGAAATATATCTGAAATAACATGTCATGGATCGTCTAGCCTCTATTTTGAACTGTTCATCATCACAAGTGAAAACATGCCTCTTAGTCTAGACACCAATCTCATTTCTTTGCTTAGCGGGAACTCATCATCCAACTGGAAGGGGGGGGTATACGGAGGGAGACAGTCCCATATAGAAAAACACCCTAGACAACTCCACAAAAGTAATAATGTTCTGGTGAGGAGCATTTATGGATCAGCGACATCTGAAAAAGTTCCCTGGTTTCAACAGATGCCAGCAGCCCCGGAGATATTTCATTTATTAATCAACAGTGTTATCAGCTTGCCAAATTAAATACAGAACACAGAACATAAGAGTAATAGGGTTGGGAGGGAGATAAGATAAGATAGATGAGAGATGAGATAAGATAAGATATAAAATAAGACGTAAGATGTAAGATACGATTATAAGCAGAGGTGGGTTGCTCCTGGATCAGCACAGAAGCATTGCATGTGCGCGCGAGCACACAAATGAAGAAGAGCGAATCGGTAGCACCAGGATTTGAAATCCACCTCTGATTATGAGATGCAAGATGTAATTATAAGATAATTTTATTGTAATTTTTTTTTTTACTGTGAGCACACCGACCCACATTAAAAATGAAATTCTGTAGCCTGTTCTCAAGAGAAAGTGTATATCTATCCAACACATACATAACACTCACAATATATATATATATATATATTAATCACTGTTCACTTTGAATACGTAGCGGAAAGAGGAAACTTGAGAGTTCACAAGTTTGATGCTATATGGAACAAAACTGTGACTGAATCTAGGACAGATGTTCTACTTCGGATACCACAAAGCCTCCTCCCCAAAGGTAACAATGAAAAGAGGTCATGAAAAGGATATGTAGCGTCCCAGAGCATCTGGTGGATTCTAATCCAACCCCTTGCCCAAACAGGAGACCCTATACCATTCTGGACACATGCCTGTCTAAACTCTTCTTGAAAACCTCCAGTGATGGAGTAGTTTGAGAAAGTGGGTATTTTAAGCCTGAAGCAATAAAACACTGTCTTTATTATCACATACCAATCCCGCGAAGAACCTTGACTTGCCTTTTATTTTATTTGGCTACAGCAGGCAAATATTTAAGAGAATTCCTCAGGAAGACCAAGGCACGTACAATTTAGACAACAAGAGAAATTATGTCAGATTATTTAGATGATGTTTAATTCCTCAGTTATTTTTAGTGACTCATAACTTCTTTAAGCCTTCGTATGCTCATTTATCTTCACGCATTATTGTTTTAAAGCACTCTCGCACAATTTTTTTTTAAAAAAAACAATGAACTGAGCACATAACCCCTTCTTAGCAGAAGGGGTTATTCGCAGCTGTCTTAAAAACAGCATCCTTTTAGACATGCCCTTGGTTTTACTCTGGCCTAAAATTAACTGGTAAGGATCCAAATGCTGCATTTGTTTTGATTACTCAAACTAAACCATTTCACGGTTCATATTATGCAAGGGCATTAAATACACTGTTAAAATGTAAAAATGTTACACGTTCCCAAGGCTGAAATGCATGCAGAATGTAAGCAAGTTTTAGCATGAGTGCATTAACACAAACAATGAAGTAAACTGTTTGAAAGCCTTACCAGCCAAAGCTCGAAGCGGAAAATGATCCAAACAATCAGCGAGCAAAAACAAAAGAGGCAGTTGTCACTTAGCACTTTTCTGGAGGCAGACTTGAACCTCAGTCTCAGTCACCAGGTGCGGAAACGTGTCTCAGAACACAGAGGCGCACAAGCTCTCATATAGGAGAGCAAAGAGGAAGCATGGAAGAAAGGAAGTGTCATAACGAGAAAGGTGTAATACTACTCATTTCCTTCCTCCCGTGCTAAGTTCCCATCACAACCCCGAATGTCTGGAATTGGTCAAAGAGGTGGACAACCCGATGGCCTCCAGACCTTTAGGCAACTTCCCCCCCAGCCAGCTCCATCCATGGAGAGTATAGTCCAAAATACAGGTGGCCCTCTACTTACAACCACAAGTGAGCCTGGCATATCTGTTGCTAAGTGAGACATCGGTTAATTTGAGTTTTGCCCCGCTTTACGATCTTTCTCACCACGGCTGCTAAGTGAATCACTGCAGTTGATAAGTTGGTAACCCGGTTGTTAAGTGAATCAGACTTCCCCATTGACTTTGCTGGTCAGAAGGCCGGAAAAGGTGATCACATGACCTTGGGGCACAGCAGCAACCGTCATAAAAGTGAGCCAGTTGATAAGCATAGGAATTTTGATCTCATGACGATGGGGATGCCGCAGAGGTTGTAACTGAAAAATGTCCATAAGTCACATTTTTCGGTGCCGTTGTAACTTTGGTCACTAAATGAACTGTTGTAAGTTAAGGACTAGCTGTACTTGGAAGGTACCATATCAGAGGTGGTATTCAGCCGGTTCTTTCCGCTTCAGGTGAACCGGTAGCGGCAGCAACGGGAGGCTGCGTCCACCAGCCCCAACATCATGCACAAACACTGCACATGCGCAGAAGGCAGTGCACATGTGCAGATGCGGTGCCCACTCATGTTTGCGAACTGGTAGGGAAGGTAAGTGTACCATATCATCCACAGTTAGTGGTTAAGAAGCAGTTGTGAATTTTCTTCTGTACAAGTACTCTTCAACTTCTATACAAGTAATCCTCAACTAAACAGTTCATTCAGTGACCATTCAAAATTGTAATTACACTGAAAAAAATAATCTATGGTGGTTTTTCACACTCACACCCATTGCAGAGTCCCCAGGATATGTGATCAAAATTCAGACAATTGGCAATAGACTCTTATTTGTGATGGTTGCAATGGCCTGGCATTATGTGCTATCACCTTCTGACAAGCAAAATCCACAGGGAGGCCCAATTCATTTAACAATCGTGTTAATGACTTAACAGTTGTAGTGATTCACTTAACAACCGTGGCAAGAAAAGTCACAAAATGGGGCAAAATTCACTAAACAACTGTCTCGCTTAGTAACAGAAATGTTGGGCTCAACTGTGGCTGTATGTTAAGGAATGCAGAATAACAGGATAACAGAGTTGGAAGGGACCTTGGAGGTCTTCTAGTCCAACCCTCTACTCATGCAGGAAGCCCTCTACCATTTCAGACAAATGGTTATCCAACATCTTCTTAAAAACTTCCAATGTTGGAGTATTCACAACTTCTGGAGGAAAGTTATTCCACTGATTAAGTGTTCTGACTGTCAGGAAATTTCTTCTTAGTTCTAAGTTGCTTCCCTCCTTGATTAGTTTCCACCCATTGCTTCTTAACCTACAGCCCGCATGCAAACTAAGCTGTCTTCAGTTCTCATTTTAGAGTTGAAGGGGACAAATCAAATAAGTGCTACTGAAGTTCTCCTTATGGGTTCTTCCTCGTCTGAGCAACCTTGAGATGGAGAAGTCCTGTTTTCTATCTTAGAATCAGATGATTTCCCAACCTGTTTAGAGGAAGAGAAGAGGAAAGCCAAGCTAATGCGGGTCCAGGTTTCAAAAAGGCTTGATGCATCTTTCAAAATAAAAAATTTAGTCTAATACCATTTGCAGTTCCTCAGCATTTTCTTCCACATCCCTGGTTAGAGACACATTACAATAGTTTACTCTACAAAACTGCACAATCAATTCATGCGCTGTAAACTATGGAGCATGCAAAAAAAAAGAGTAAAATAAAATAGTAAATTAATCAGCCATTTTTTTTAAAAAAAAAGGAGGAGGGAAATCACACTGGTTAGTATAAAATACCCCAGCCACCTGTTCCCACCAATTTCCATGAAACAGTAATATTTTAATTGACTTATTTGTTTTTATTTTAATCTACCTTTATTATTTTTATAAATAAGTCAAGGCAGTGAACATACTAATACTCCTTCCTCCTCCTATTTTTCCTGTAAGGTTGGTTGAGCTGAGTGAGGCTAACACAGGTCCAACATCACCCAGCTAGCTTTCATGCCAAAGGTAGGGCTAGAACCCACATCTCTAACCAGGTGCCTTAACCAATAGACCAAAGTGGCTCTTAAGCCTTTTAAATAACTGCTACTCCATAAAAAAATTCAGGTGAAATCAATTTCAATTTCCATGGAAGTGATTTCATAATTTCGCAAGAACCGTCTCAAAGATTTTATCATCTTGTATTTCAAATATTTGGAGGGCAGCAGCTGCCAACCTATGCATTAACAAGAATGAAGACAATATTTCATTGTCTTCATTCCAGCTAACTATAAAATAAATGAAGTAAGCATCTGCATTGCAAAGTACCATCTGATTAAAATACCATCTGATTTCATTGGAATTTCGCTCCTGGTACAGTTGGCCGGAAAGAAAATCCTATTTTCTCAAATCTTTCCCGTTTGCTATTGCTATTTATCTGGCACCTCTCCTGTTTACACCATGAATCAGAATCCTGCTCATTGAGAATGTGATATTGGAAAAATAGAGGAAATAGCAGTGGTGCAGACTTGCACATAGGCAGCTGTGGTTACATTTCCCAGGAATCTGAGGGGATGATTTATTTGGTCTCTGACAGATTTGATTCGGTTGGGCTTTATTTTTGTTTTTATGGTTTAGAGTTTCTCAGATATTTTTCTATCTTGTACTGTAAACTAGTCAATTCATCAAGGGATGGCAAAGGAAAGGGAGCACGTGGACTTAGTTGCTCAAGTTGGAAGAGAACTTTTCCATTCTCTGGATGACTCTCCTGGCAAATCCATTTCAGAATAATTAATCCTTTCACATACTACTCAAAGGCTTAGTCAATAGCTTTCATGCATTTAATTTCTGGGAGGAATCATGATCCAACAGAAATCCTGCAAAATTTAGGGGCAGCCTAGAGTCAATCCATTTTTCTCCAAATCCTGCAAACGCCATCAGTGGAAATGCTGATCTCATGTATAGCTGGCCCTATTATACATATGAAAAGGGCGGGGGGGACTCAATAGATTTTTGTATTTTACAAAGCAGAAACTCTATTTTGGCTGCTTTTTCATAGTTTAATGATGGAGGGAGGCTTTTAGGATTCTTAATGCTTAATAAGAAAGGCCCAGCTCTTCTTTAAGGTGTGGATGTGTCTTTAAGACTGATTGGGGAAGACTGTCTGAACTACTGTATAACAGAGGCAGTGGTGGGTTTCAAAATTTTTAGAACCTCTTCTGTGGGTGTGGCCTGCTTTGTGGGAGTGGCTTGCTGGCCATGTGACCTGATGGGAGTGGCTTGCCAGTCATGTGACCGAGTGAAAATGGCTTGCAATCATGTGACTGGGCGTGGCCAACTTGTAAAATGTGGTGAAACTCACTTAACAACACTCTTGCTTAGCAACCAAAATGTTGGCTCAGAATCTCTGGCATTTGAAGCACGCAAGTCTTAAAGCTGTCAAGTCACCCCTAACCCTTTAGAAAAAAAAAACCAAGGATGTTCAAACTTGACAGCTTTAAGACTTGTGGACTTCAACTCCCAGAATTCCTCCTCCAGTCATGTTGGCTTAGGAACTCTGGCATTGAAGTGTGCAAGTCTTAAAGCTGTCAAGTTACAAGATCCTTGCACCCCTAACCCTTTAGAAAAAAAAACCCCAGGAGTGTTCAAACTTGACAGCTTTAAGACTTGTGGACTTCTCGTGTGGAGAAGTCTTGATGATGTGCTGACGGGCGAGGGGAGGGAGCTGGAACTGGTTCTAAACGGCACTGTAGATTTGTGGAACCTATTCTACAGAAAAGAAGAAGGTTAGAACTGGCAGGAACCCACCCCTGAACAAAGGCCTCATTCTGATAGTGTTAAACTACAGCTCCCAGCAGCCCTCAAAACTGATCAATGCTCTTTCAGAGTCCTCTTTCAGCCAAGATGCACTGATTGGTTTTGAGTTATGAGATTCATGTAGATCTCCCTTTGTTTTATCCCTACAGCAACTTTGTGGGGTAGGCTAGGCTGTTTTTTGATAATTAAGGATGGATGTAATTCGAATCAGGGGTGAGATTCAGCTGGTTCAAACCGCTTCAGGGGAACCAAATGCTAATTTTACATCTGGTTCGCCAAACCAGTAGTTGGAAGGACTGGCTGGCCCTGCCCACTCCACCCCACCCATCCCAGGAGTCTCCACACAGCCTGTTCATCATGACAGGTAAGCGCAGGGCTCGCGTGGAGGCTCTGGGAGGGTGTAAAACAGGCCTCCAGGAAGTTCTGGAAGTCGGGAAACAGGTATGTTTCTGACCTCTGCAGGGTCTCCGGACCCTGTAGGAGGCCGTTTTCAGCCTCCAAGAGGCTCAAGAAAAGCCTCCGAAGCTTGGGGAGGGCAAGAAATAGGCCTCTAGGAAATTCCGGAAGTTCGGAAATAGGCTTGTTTCTGGCCTACGGAGGCTGTGGGAGGCCGTTTTCCTCTTCCCGGAGGCTCAAGAAAATCCTCTGGACCCTGGGGAGGGCAAACCCCCCCCTGCTGTGGTGCCAGAGGCCCTCATGGCCATGCCCACCCAGCAAACAGGCAGAGGACAGTTTGCTAAAAATTTTCAATCCCACCCCTGATTCTAATCCAACAATCTAATCATTCCATCATACATTAAATCATCAGGTTTATTTGCTCTTTGGCTTGTCTTTGCCCTCAGATTATGGATTTTAAGGCTATGTCTCAGGGTTCCTCAACCTTGGTAACTTTAATGTAGACTTCAACTCCCAGAATTCCCCAGCCATCTCCCAGAATTCCCCAGCCAGCATATGTGTGA